GCCCTGAGGTGGGAACCAGCTTGTTTTACTGGAAGAACCAGGAAACTGACCAGTGTGACCCAGACCAAGTGTAAGGAGAGGAAGTGTTGGGTACAGGAAGGGGCTGGATCACCCAGGGCCTTGTTGGTCCTAGAAGGGCCCCAGATGGTGTTTTGGGCCTTATTCTCAGGGCAATGGGAAGCCACTTGGTGGTTTTATGAGGATCCCATATACCTAGTTAAGAGGTCACTCATGGTGTGGAAAATGGGTTGGAGGGGGCAAGAGAGGCAGCAGGGGGACAAGGATCAGATGCAGGATGTGTGTGGAAGGCTGTGGTGAGGTATGGATGTCAGGGTGAGGGAGGGGCTGAATCCAGGATGACCCCTAACTTTGTGGTCTGAACTGTGAGTGGATGGTAGGGTCATTTATTAAGATGGGGCAGATGGGGGCTTGTGGTGAAGATCAAGAGTTCAGTTTTTGGCATGAGATGTCTAATCTCTTCACTCACGTCCAGCTAGAAATACAGAAACCACTGTGAGTATTTTGACAGAAGGATTGGGTATAGGCGAGTGGGTAGTGCTGGTGAGGGAAGTGGCTGAGGGGGACAGTGAGACAGCCAGGAGGTGAGCACCAGCAGGAAGTACTGCTGCCACCCCTAGGCTGGAGGGACCAAGCTCAATGGTGGTTTTACCTGATCTTGGGATCAGGGTCAGCTGATGAAGCTGGAACATGGGCCTGTTTTGGAGGTAGCCTCAGAGACAAAACCTCTGCCTGAGATGCTGCACCAAGCAGGCCTGCTGGGGGTGCTGTTGTGGGTGGACACCAAGGTTGGAGATAGAAATGCCAGAGTCATTGGTGCACAGCTCTCTTCCAGACAGTGCTGCCTTGAAGACTTCTGGGCTCTCCCTGGGGGCTGCCTCCCACCTGAGCCACCTCCTTGGACTTTTGAGCTCCTCCAGCTCTTGAGGACCCCCTGTCCCTCCAGTCGTAGCCATCATGAATTTGGGACTCTCGCAAAACTCCAATCCCCAGCTCCGTTTTTGGTCCCAGGGGGTAGGGTAGGGAGGTGGGGTGGTTTGAGTTCTGTGTCTCCCTTGCTGGGGGGGGCCTCAGTCTGAGAGGCCACACCAATGTGTGCGCATCAGAGGCGGCAAGGGTCATGTCTGAAGAGGGGGGAGCAACCCAATCAACAAATAAAAAGTGTGGGGAAGACCCAGGTGTTTGAGCACAGTCTGCATGCAGGAGAGGGAGGGATGGGGTGTCCTGCTCTCTGAGCCAGCAGCTGAACACTGGATAACTGGGATAAATGCCCTTTGCATGGTGCCACCTCCAAGCCTTGTGGTCTGAGCCTTGTTCCTGGCTGCCCCTCCTAGGTGCTGGGGGGTGGTGCCACGACAGAAGCTCTTGTTCTTCAGAAGGGATGAACTGAAGGGAGGTGTGGGCAGTCGAAGCCTTTGGCCCTTCCCTGAGGCCGTTTTTTTTTTTTCTTAAGACCCCAGTTTGGCTCAGAAAGGGAAACAGACTGCCTTGGTCCCAAGCACAGGTTTTATTCCAGGCCCTGATGTTAAGACAGAAGAGTTCAAACCAGACAGCACGCAGACTGAATGAGGCCCTAGCATAATGAGCTTTCTCTAATTCAGATAGACTCTCATGGTCAAAGCCAAAAGTATCATGGGAGCTGTTTTATCTGCCAGTCCCCTGGGCAAGCAAAAGCCCTGATGTGAGGGCAGGTGGGAGCTGGAGGTCTCTGTCCCCTCCACTAGCCTTGGCTCGGCATGGACATCTTGCTGGGAGTATTAAAACAATGTACAGTCTGGCCTCTAAGTGCAAGCTGGTTGCTTCATCAGGTGCTCAGCCAAGGACACAGGGATGTGTTGGACTTTGGGAGTGTGTGTGACTCCAGTGCGGCCCACGAATAACATGGTATTTTCAGACTTTGTGGGCAATTTAAGGGATTATGCTGACCGTTGAGTTTTGCCTTTACGAGCTGATGGTAGTACCTGCCTTCCAAGATGTGACTGATAACTTGCATTTACCCAGCAACATATCCTAGACAGTTTGCTTAGCATATTACTGCTGTGGTTTCATCTGATCTTTTCAGCAATCATAAGAGGTAGGTACCATGTGATGCCCATTTTGCAGATGAAACAAAAGGTCATAGGTGTAATTTTGCTGTTGAGTGACAGCTGCCATTTAAACCCCAGCTGTCTGCCTGATCAGTAGGCTCTTCTACTTCTCAAGGAAGGAACCCTTTATTTAACACAGGTTGATGTAGCCAAGAACTGTCCCAGAACACAGAGCAGGCACTAGGAACAAGGTGTTCAAAGTAGCTGGTTTCCACTGAGGATAAGGCAGGACTTAACTGAGGAGCTAATGAGCAGCGGGACATGCTTCCCAGAGAGAGGGAGTACTGAACCAGAGGACGGTTCATCCTGTATGGCCAGAAAGCAGCTAAGGTCCTTCTCAAGACTCCTTTGTTACGCCTGGACCCTTCAGGTAAGGCCTTTTCCTTGTTGTTACCCTGTGACTTTGTAGAGCATCCGCACTGTTACTGGGCCTTTTCTTTGGGGCTCAGAGCCACTCTCCTTCTGACTCCTGCCCCTGCCGTGCCCATGTGCCTGCACAAAAGCCATAGCACATATTCATCCTCCCTCCACGTCAGGCTCTCAGCTGTCACTTCTCCCTGGATGTACCTGATTGCAAGAGGCTCATTGTGAGTGGGAGAAAGCCTGGGCATGACAGGCCAGAGGCCTGGGTTCCAGCCCATGTGTGGCTGCCAACACCGTAGGGACTTCAGAGAAAGGGGGGGAATTTTACCCCCCACAGCCTTCCGGGTACTGCTGGATGCTTGGCATGAATTTTTAAATCTTCCCATCACCACTGGGAGGTACACGTTCCTTTCTCCATTTTGCAGATTTGAAAGCTAAGTCTCTTGCCGAAGAATTCAGGGCTAATTAAGAGGCAAACTGGATTCTGACACAAGCCTGTCTGACTTTTTGTTGCCCCACACATCACCTCCAAAGTCATTTCCCTCTTTTGAGCCAATGCTTCTACCTGTGGTCACCTGCAGTGAGCCCCACATTGTTTAGGTGCTGGAGATACAGCAGTGAACAAGGTCCCTGCCCTCATGGAGTGATAAGCCAGTGGGATGACTGATAATAAGCAAATGATGCAGTATGTTGGAAGGTAACCAGAAAAGGCAGTGAAGAGTGGGGGGTTGGCACTTGCTATTTAATGTAAGGTGAGAAGAGAAGGCCTCTTTCATAAGATGACAAGTGAGCAGAAGTGAGGGAGTGAGCCAGAGGGACATTGGAGGGAAGAGCACTCCAAGCTGAAGGAACAGCCAGTGCAAAGGTCTTGAAGTGGGAGCATGCCTAGCATTTTAGAGAAACGACAGATTCATGTGGTTGGAGCACAGGGAGTAAGGGGGAGACGGAGGAGAAAAGGTCACAGAGCGAACAGGAGGCAGATTCTGCAGGTCTTTGGGCCATGGTGAGGACTCTAGCTTTTACTCTGTGGGGATGGAGCCATGAGAGGATTCTGAGCACAGGAGGAATGTGATCTCACTTAAGTGTTCACAGGGTTCGTCTGTGGGGAAGAGACTAAAGTGGTGGGGCAGGGTGGGAAAACCAGTGAGGAAGCCACTGCATTAGTTTAGGTTGAGGAGAGTGGCTGGAACATGGAGGGTGCAGCAGATTGGGGAGAAGTGAGGAGAGTCTGGACATATTCTGAAAGTAGAACCAACAGAATTTGTTTACAGATTGGATATTGTGTGAGAGAGAAAGTGACTGAGCAACTGGAAGGATGGAGCTCTTTCCTGAGATGGGGAAGACTGTGAGAGCAGAAGATTTGGGGAGGCAGAAATCAGGAGTTAGGTTTTGGACATTATATTTGAAATGGCTCTTAGATATTCCAAGTGAAGATGTCACTTGGTTGGATACACAGATCCAGAGAGAGAGAGACAGAGGAATAACAGCAAATAATAATGTATTAATATTAGAATAGGTATGCTATATTTTACATAATATAGTGATATTAACAACAATGATTTATTGATCTCACCCTATGGCCTTTCCATCTGTGACATCTCTTGCTCTCACAGTAACCATATGGCATATCTGGGATTGTTACCCTCAGAGAAGGAAACAGGTTCAGAGAAGTTTATGAATTCACTTAAGATAACACAGCAGCAAGGCTGGCTGGTTAGCTCAGCTGGTTTGAGCATTGTGTTGTAACACCACAGTTCCCGGTACTGGCCAGCTGCAAACAACAACAAAATGAAAAGATAGTAAGTGGCAGGATCAAGGTTGGATCCCAAGTTTGTCCAATTTTGAGACCTGAACGTTTTCTAATCTGCTAGTTGCTTATACAATAAAGACTCCCACCACCCCCCCACCCCCAGTATAAGGATGACCGGTAAGGGGATCTTTTTTTTTTTTTTTTTTTGTCCTTTTTGAGCACAGCCCCGCACTCTCCTGAGTGCGCCACGGGCTAGGCCCCAGTAAGAGGATCTTAACCCTTGACTTGGTGTTGTCAGCACCACGCTCTCCCAAGTGAGCTAACTGGCTGGCCCTAAAGACTGTTGATTGTACTGGATAATCCTTAAGGATTCTTTTCAGCTCCAGAGAGCCTTCCTTAAGCTTGGCGATTCTCTGCTCTGGAGACAAAAGTCCCCTAAACCTGTTAGAATTGTGTGTAGATCAGAAAGTCTGTAGGTACTGAGTGAGCAGGGCGGTTCTCCCAAGTTTTTTCTTTGAGTTTTAGTGCCTTGACTTCCTTTCTGTTTTTGCTTATTTTCAGGATGCCAGCAGAGTTTCAGACAGGGAGTCTGCAGCTAAGGGGTTAGTGGTTTTACTTTGAGGACATCTGGGTCTAAACCTCTACAAAGAGGGAAGACTTGCAAAAGTCATATACAGCCGTTCAGAGTCAGCTCGTCTCTCCACACCTAGACATGTTTCCTGTGACCCCACCTTCCTTTCCACCCAGATTCCTCCTCTGGGACAAAAGGGATGTAGGCGGAGTTGGTTTTCAGGATTTTATTAGAGGTGTATTTCTGCTGGCGGGACAGGGGCTGCGGGACAGGCCTTTCCAGGTGGGGCCAGAGGAGTCCAGGTGGGGCCAGTGGAAAAGAAGGGGAAGGCGGGGAACGTCTCTACTCTCGGATCTTCAGTTCCCGCGCCATCTGACAGAGGGCGCAGGGCAGACAAAAGGTGAGAGCCGCCCAGTCGTGCCCGACGGAACCCTAGACGGTAGGAGAGAGAGGTCAGGAGCTCTGCCTTGGGTCCCAGGAGGCCAGACCCCAGCCTCCTGCTCCCGCGGGTCCGGGGCCCGGCGCGCACCTGGATGTGGTAGCGCTCGCGCATGCCGGTGCGGATGGAGTGCAGGCCTCCGGGCAGGTAGGGCGCGCAGCAGCACTCGCCGAAGTCGTCGGAGATGCGACAGGCGAGGCACAGGGGAGCGAAAGTGCCGCACAGACCTGGGCCGGGCGCAGGGCGGTCAGGGGCGGGGCCGGCCGAGGGGCGCGGCTGACGGGCCGCAGAGGGGAGTGGAAGGGCCCGGAGGGAATTGAACGTTGGAGGAATGAAGAAGAGGTCCCAGAGGGAATTAGGGGTCCGAGGAGAGGGTGGTTTAGCGGTTGGGAGATGGGGTTTGAAGGGGGAATTGGAGGTCGCAACGAGAAGAGCGAGGGTGTGAGGGGAGGGTGAGCATGCGAGGGCGAGCTGAGCGTGGGAAGGTGTGAACGAGGTCGGCATCCTGGGAGTGCTGGGCTCCGGGAAGGGGTGAGGGCTGGGGAGTGGGAATGAAAAGTCCAAGGAAGGGAGGTGGCAGTGGGGTGAGGAGGGCGTCGGAGGGGGTTGGAGGTGAGCTTCCCTCCCTTCCCCGGGCGGGCCTGGAGAGGGTGCTGGCGGGCACTCACAGATGGGCATGTCGTTGCAGCAGTCCGTGAGGCCCGTGTGCCAGTCACTGAGCTGGGTCTGGTAGCAGCTGCTGGCACACTGGGGCTGACTGGTCACTGGGTAGGACATGGCTGCGGAGGTGGGGGGGCGGGGGTCAGCGGGCAGTGTCGCAGCGCCTCCTGAGCCCCAGCCACCCTTCCCTCTGCCGGGCAGTCTGGGCGGGGCCGCCAGGCCGCCCACTGAGGGGACACCACTAAGCCTCCCCCTTCCCTTTTGCCACATCTGGACATCGACACCCCAGTCTGTCCCTGTTGCCGCCGCCTCCTGCACATCTGGTTGAGCTTGGGGTGGGGAGCTCCTGCGGGTCTGAGGAAGAGTGGGTGCCACATCTGGGTGGAGCAGAGACGTGCCGCCTCCTCCTCTACGTCTGGGCCTGGGGGGCTGGGCTCCCGAATTTTGGGGGCCTCTGGGGTGGAAGCAGGAGCCATCTGTCTTCGAAGCCAGGGTGCCCAGGGGAGGGAGGCGGCCACGTTCCGGGTACTGAGAGGGTTGCCGGTCCATCCAGCTATCCCACCTTTGCCTTTCACGTTGTCATGCATCTCAAACTGCATCTTGATGGCCCTGAGGAGGTGGCGTTGGGGACGGCAGAGGTGGCTGCAGCGACAGCGGTGGAATCTGTCCAAGGGATGCTGGATACTGGGGAGGGGAGGGGAGGGGACTGGGGTACTGGGGGCTGGGCTTTCAGGGGGAGGGGAGCTGGGGAGAAAGAGGCCAGGTCAGCCTGCTGGCTAGGAGAGGTGTGGAACAGGGAATAAATAGGGTGGGGGCGAGAAACTCGCCCATTTCTTTATGGCTGCCCGACAGACCCCAGAGGATCCTCCTTATACCAGAGGAAGAGCTGGAGAGAGGGACCAAGAGACAGAGACAGGCAGAGTCAGAGACAAGGGGAGAAAGAAATCAGAGCCAGGCGCCAGTAATGCCCACATGTGCCCAGCACTTTGATTTCTCTGCAAGCCCATTTCACTGATGGAACACTGAGGCTCAGAGAGGTAAAGAGAAATGCTGCACATCTGATGGCCCCCCAGCCAAGGGGGTTAGTAGAGGGAATGCTGGACCTCAGGATTTACAAATTCAACCCAGTGCCATTCAGGTTGAGAAGAAGGGATTCAGGGGGGCACTGAGAAAGATATGTCCAGAGAGACAGGCAGACGGAGATATGAAAGGAGACAGAGAAGTGTGAGTGGGGTAGGGTGGAGGGAGAACAGGGCAGAGGGACCAACCTCAGAGCAGAGGGCTGAGGGAAGGGTGTTCCTACCTGCAGGACGACGATGGTAGTGATGGAGACAGGCTTGGGTGACACGGGCACTGAGTTCTCAGTCTTGGGTCAGGAGCCTCTTATATGGGCGGGCCACGAGGCCCTGGGCGGGGCTCTGATGGAGATGCCCAGGGAGCCAAGCCGGTCTGGCTGACCCTCTTCTCCCCACTGGGATTTCTCACCCTCCCTCTCCATTCCCCACCCCCCGTTCCCCTCCTGTCTCACCTCCCAGGACTGAGGAAATTGTGTGTGTGTGTGTGTGTGTGTGTGTATGTGTGTGTATGTATCCAGGGATGAGGAGATGGGGGTGGAGATAGAAACAGCAGTAGGCAGAAATAGAGACAGAGAGATGGGGAGAGAAGGTGGAGGGGGCACAGCTGAGTCAATGTGCAGAGACCAAAAGAGAGGGAGAGAAAGAGAAATGGGGAAGGAATGGGGGACACAGAGACAGAAGGGGAGGCAGGGAAATGGTGAGATGGGAGGGAGAGAGATGGAGAAAGAGATGCTGAGAGAGAGAGACAGAGAGAGAGAGAGAGATCTGGGGAGGAATAACCAGAAAAGGGGAGATAGGATTCAGAGAAGAGAGATGCAGAAATGGAAAGGTAAAGAGGCAGGTGGAGGGGACCACAGCAGAGGCCTAGAGGGAAGGGGAGGCGGGTGGAGGAGGTGGGTGGGAGAGAGAGAAGGGTCATTGGCGTAGGAGAGAGTGCAATGTGAGGCTCCCTTTTAAGGGTCTCTCTCATCATACTTAGTGATGTCTCCACTTCCCTGGGAGAGGGGGACATTGCCCTCCGATGCAGGGCCAGGAGACAGATGGGGGGATATGTTTTGAGGAGTGACTCATGCTTGAACCAGAGTAAATAAACACACCTCACTCCACCTCCAAATTGGGAAGGGAGGAGGCTGGGAACTGAAAAGCCGTGGTTCCTGAAGGAGGCGGATCCGGCCCAGGACTCCTGGGTCCTAATAGAACAGAGAACTGGGGGTCTGGACTCCTGGGTGTGAGGGATCAGGGGCTGGAGGCCTGGACTCTTGAGTCTCATTAGGCTAGGCTGCACATCACTGAGTAGGGTAGAGGTCTTGGGATTCCAAACCACTGGGCTCCTGAGGGGTGAAGGAGCTGGGGGCCTGGATGCCTGAGTTGCTAGTCTCCCCCCAACCCGCCTGACAGGGTTGGAGGTGACTCAGTGAGGGAAGCAGCAGTAGAGCTGGGTGGGGTTCCCAGCATGGGCATCACCCCAAAAATGTGGGAGGCACCAGAAAATTGGGGTGTCACCCACAGAGGTGCTGTCATCACCCCACTGGGTATGGTGTAAGGTGATGACAGGAGGATCACCCTGCTGGCCTGGGATCACAGTTTTCCCCCCACCCTGATACTCCAGAGGACCCAAGACTTGATGTCCTGGCACCACCCAGATGGCTGGCTCTCCTTGTCCACAGACCTATGGGCAGTGCTCATTGTCTTCCCTGTGCATGTCCTTCACTTGGTCTGGGAGCCTGAGTATCTGGGGGACATCTTCTTCCCACTTCTGTCCCTGTCTCTCCATCTCTGCATCTACTTCTGTCCCTGTCTCTCCATCTTTATCTCTCTGGGTCTCAATCTCTCTTTCTTTCCTCATTTCTGCAAATCTGTTTCCAAATCTCTGATTCTCTGTCTCTCCACCTCTGGGTCTCTCTCCCTCCAGGCTCGGTGTCTCTGTGCCCTTATCTTGGGGTCTCCTATCTCAGGATCTCTCCCCATCTCCAGGCCCCATCCCTCAAGCTGTCCAGACTATGGGCTTGCAGGTGCCTCAGGGTCAGTCAGTTTTGAGGACCCTGGGCCCCCTGATGCCCCCATGACAGTCTGAGTTGTCCTTGAGTTTCCTCTTCCCCTCCTGACACAGCCTGGGGGCCCCAATTAGATGTAGCAATTCATGTAAATGAGGAAATCGGGACTGGGGAAGCTGTGAGGTGGCCTGCTTGGGGGTGAGGAGGAGGGCCATGAGCAGGAAGAGGCCTGGGGGCTGAGGGTGACTGTGGCACAGTCACTAGGCATCTGGCCTCCATGCCCCTCAAATGGGGTTGCCAGATAAAAGAGAGTACTTCTGGTTAAATCCGAATTTCAGATAAACAACAAAAACTTAAAAAAAAATTAATTAGTTGATTTTTTTCAAAAGTGCAAATTGCTGCAAGTTTTAATTGTAGACCATTCAGAAGGGAAAAATAATTACGGTTTTCTAACATCAGCTACTTGGGGAGATGGGGAAGTGGGACTGTACCGCTCACCATCAACTAGAACATTCATGGTCAGTGGGGATTTGGACACATACCAACTGACCAGGAAGTCAGTCTCTACACAATCTATAGAGGGATAGTCGGGCCCCTGAACTGCTGGCACAGCTTGGTGCATTGGAAATGGTTAAGCTGATCTTTTCCTGGCCTCCCTCACATCTAAAAAGAAAAAGGCGCCACTGACCTCAGCTCCAGGTTGCTTCCCTATCCAGATGACCTTAAATTTTATGCACAAAAACAAAAGGGAGCCAGGAAAAAATGGAAACATAAAAGAAATTCCCATTCTGGGAAGATGGGTGGCAGCAAATACTTTTTTTTTTTTTTTAAGTATAAGTGTGTTCCCAAGTGTTTGGGAAATACACTAAAAAAGTAGTTGTTATTTATCTGAACTTCAAATTGAACTAGGCTTCCTGTATTTTTATTTGCAAAATACAGAACTCTGCCTGCAAAGACAGAGGAATTTAGGGACCCGGTCTCCTCTCTCTCAGAACCCAGGAGTCCAGACCCCAACGCCTTCCCCTCCTCAATACCTGAGAATACAAGTCCCAATCTCCCCTTCCTCTCTCTTATAATGAATGGGGCACCCAGCCCCTACTCCCTCAGAACCCAGGAATCCAGGCTCCCAGCCCCCTTTTCCCCAGAATCTAGGCGTCCAGGACAGGTCTGAGTCCAGTTGCCCAACATGGGTTTCACAAGGCAGGTTGTGCCATCCTCAGCCCCAGTGGAACCAGTCAGGCTGAGCGGACAAGTGAGGTGGCCCCCCTTCTCTCTTAAACCTGCTGTTTCCTTGAGGGCCAACCCAGAGGGGCTGGGAGCAGAACAGGAGGGACTCAGTGAGCTCTGGGTGTGTTGATGTGTCTGGGTTTGGGTGTGTTGTGTCTCTGTGTGCGGTTGTGTGACTCTCTGGGTGCTGTGTGTTTATGTGGGGATTGTCAGGCTGTGTCTTTCTTTGTGTTGTTTCTGTGGTCTGTGATGTGACATGTGAGGGGGGTTCTATTCATGTGTCTGTATTGCCCTCCTGTGATTCTACACACTGTGCACCTGTTTTGGGTGTGTTCTCAGTTATTGTGGTTCTGTGATTCTGATGGATTAAGGCAGCAATTATTTATTGAGTGGTAGTCTTGTGTGAAGGATTCTGGAGCCAGAAAACCTGGTTTCAAATTCTGACTGCCTCTTATTGGCTGTAAAACCTTGGGCAAGTCAACGAACTTCTCTGGACCTCAATTTTTCCCTCTGTAAAATGGGTTGTTGTGGGCCGGCCCAGTGGCGCACTCGGTAGAGTGCGGCGCTTGGGAGGGTGGCGGCGCTCCCGCCGAGGGTTCGGATCCCATATAGAGACTGGTCCGCTCACTGGTTGAGCGCGGTGCAGGCGCGACACTGAGGGTTGCGATCCCCTTACCGGTCACAAAAAAAGACAAAAAGGAAAAAAAAAATGGGTTGTTGCAAATAGGGTGGTTTAAAGTATTAAACAAGTTAATTAATGTAAAGTCCTTAGAATTGTGCCTGGCACGTAGGATGCATTTTGTGTTTAAGATGATGACGATTACAATTATGATGAGTTCTTCTAGTTCTGGGAACACAACAGTGAACCAAACCAAGTCTTTGCTCATGGTCCTTGTAGTAGGAACTGGATGAGTGGCCTATCAGTGGCTGTGCATATAACTGCATAGTTGGGGTGTCTGTTTTGCATGTGGAACAGGCTATTTCTTGTGTGTTGTAAGTGCAGGTGATTCTGTGATTGTTTGCCTACGTTTGTGTTTGTGCTTCTGGGTGATTATATGTGCAGTGTGTGAGATTCTCTGATTGTGTGGGTACAAAAGCAAGATGACACCTAACATGTAGTATTGTGAGGGCACACGTTTGGTGTGATCTTGCATTTCTGACTCTGAGCTGCTGAGAGTTTCTATATTTGGAGTCTTGAGAACCCCTCTGTCAGTCCTGAGGCCACTCCCTTACATGTCCCACAGGTGACCCTGGGAGGGTGACTCCTTCCAAAATGAGCCTCAGTTTCATCCTACTGGGGATGACAGGCCCAGTGCCTTCAGGAAAAACACAAGGGTGAAACGGAAGGTGAGAGGAGACAAGTGAGGCCAGAAAGAAGCTGAGAAATGTGATGGCGATACCAAAAGAGATGGCGGGATGGGGACAGAGGAAGGAAGAGCTGTGACAGAGAAACGCGGGTGTTTGTCAATCCATTCCATAAGCATTTGCTGAGCCCCTGCAATGTGCCAGGACCTCTGGTGGGTGTTGGTTCAAGGTCTGGGGGAAAGTAAAGAGGTCCTAAGAGATGAAGACCCACCAGGAAAGCTGTTGCTGCCCCAGGGTGGCCCACCTGTCTCCACAGTGGGCCTCAGTGACAGTTCTGAGTGATGAGTGATGGAGATGCGGAGATGGAGAGGTCCCTGTCCCTCCCTGGTCCTCCCTGAGGCCTGATCTGTCCAGATCAAAGAACGGGGGGGAAAGGCCCTTCCCAGGCCAGGGGCATCCCCATGAATCATTTTCTTATCATCTCCTAATAGGATAATGATGCGCCTGTGCCTCCTAATCACTATTTTTGGCCCCAGCCAGGCCCAACACCCACAGCAAGAAGGGTCAGACAAGCCTGTTATCATGGAGTCAGGGGAGGAAATACCTGGGAGTCCCTGTCCTTGGTCCTGCCTCCTCCAGTCCCCGGGAGTCCCAGTCCCCAGTTCTCCACCCCAACCCCCAACCAGGAATCCCAGCTCTCAGTCCCTCTTCTTTTGTTTGCTGTCTACCTTTTCTTCTCTCTCTGGGCCTGTCTTTATCTCTTTGTCTGTTTATCTCCATCTGTGTTTTGCCTCTCCTGTCTTTACATCTGTATCTTGATTCTCCCTCACTGGGCCTCAATTTTCTCACTTGTAAAATGGGGATAATAATAATAATCTGATTGATTAGAGCTGTGATGAAGAAGACATGAGCTAATTATGTAAAATGCTTAGCACAGAACCCAGGCCACAGTAAACTCAATACAAGAGAGCTCTATTATTATTAATGTTTTATTATTATTATTATTATTATTATTATTATTATTATTTTATTAATTTTTGTGTCTGTTAGGTGCAGGGATCTGAACCTGTGACTTTGGTGTTATAATACCGAATGTTTTATTATTTTTATTTCTCTACTGGTATCTACGTTTTTCTCTTTGTCTCCACATGTCTCAAGTCTCCTCCCACTCTGGGTTCTTTTTGTAGACAGCATCCTGTCCCTGACTTCTCTTTTAGGGATGAGGAAAAGGCATATCCAGGCCAGAGCTTCCCCTAAGCCTCTTCTCTCTCTATCTCTACTCCAAACTCCACTTCAGGAACCAGAACACTTGCCCTAGGGCAAGGCCTGGCTGCAATCCCATAAATAGCCTCATAAAATCCTGAGCACAACATCAGTCATCCCTGGGCAGGATCCAGGAGTCCCTTCCCTAGACCCCAACCTTTTAGGTTCCCTGCCCCGCCCCCCCCCCACCCGACCCAGAAGTCCGGGCCCCTCGTCCCTCCTTCCTTGGGTCCCCAGCCCTCTCCTGCCTTGGGATCAAGGAATCTAGGATCTCGAGTTCCCATCCTCCCTCAAGATCCGTGGATCGGGGAGTTGGCCGGTTAGCTCAGTTGGTTAGAGCGTGGTGCTGATAACACCAAGGTCCAAGTACCGGCCAGCTGCCGGCAAAAAAAAAAAAAAAAAAAAAAAGAGAGAGAGAGATCCAGGGATCGGGCCTGCAAATAGCTCAAGTGCGTGCCGCCAGAAACCCCATTCATCGCCATTCTGCGACCGACCACGCCCGCAGCTGCCACGGCCCGCCCTTCAGTCTCTGCAGCAGCGGGTCCTCACACGCGAGGCACTCCTCCCGAGTCTAGCTAGGACTACTCGAGACGTCAGTCACTATCATCCAGCAAATAGTCACCCTGCCTCCTACGGCCCCCACAGTGGGCGGGGTCCACAGCCTCAATCGGACAGCGATAGGCTCTCGGAGACGCCAGTCTCCGCCGGTGCCTGCTGCCGGTCTGCCAATAGACGCGGAATCTGTGGAGTCGGAATCCCGGTCCGCTCTGCAGAGGTCTGAGCCGGCTTCCGAGCCAACCGGTTCTGCGGGTCACGCCGGGTAAGCCCTTTCCAGCATGCCCAGTATTGGGATTCTGGACATAGCTCGGGCAGGAATGAGGCGTGGTGAGGCTCGCGGAAAAGGGGGAGCTCAGCCAGGGCAAACTCATTTTGCCTTATTGGAGAAACTGAGTCTGGGATGCATGATCGCAGATGTTAATCCACCCCATTCGTCACACTCTGAGCGTGATTTTCTGCCCCTGCCTGTCCTCATCCATCGGTTCAGCCCTTCCTGCCCTCATTAATTCCCTCACTCACTGATTCCCTCGTATAACCACTCACTCACTCATGCACACACTCACCCATTACTTAAACAAACATTTCCTAAGGCAGGGCAATGGTGGTGACCAACATGAGTCAGTCCTGGGCCCTGCCCTCAAGGAGCCTGGGTAAGATGGGAGAACAGACATTGATGAGCAAGGGTGTGCAGAGGTGTGGGAGCTGAGGAGAGTGAGTCTAAATTTTGGGTTTGGCATGGTCAGGAAAGGGTTTCCAGAGGAAGTGCCGTTGGAGCTGGATCTTGGAGGAGCAGGAGGTGACAGGCAAAGGTTGAGGAGAGGGTATGGGGAGAGTGTTTCAGCATGAGCAGACAGGGTAGCATGCAGGAGCATTACCGTGTAAAAGTGCCCAAGTGGAAGGCCAGTCATGTCTGTGCTGCCAGCAGGGGAGCTGTAAGGCTGGAAGAGGATGAAGAGGTGGGCAGAGGCCAAGCTGAGGAGATTAGACTGTTTTGGGGTTTGGGGGGTGGAGGACCATTGAAGGTTTTAGAGCAGGGGAGAGGACCAGGTCAGAGTTTGGATTAGAACTGGAGGAAAAAAAAAAAAAAAAAAAAAACCCACAAAAACCAAAAACTAGAGGAGTGAAATGAGACTGGAAGCCAGTAGCCCAGGAGGTGGCTTTGGCAGGGACCCAGGCAAGAGAGGATGGAGTCTGGTTCAGGACAGAGGCTGAGGGGATAAGGTAGAGATCCAGGAGGCAGAGAGAACAGAATATGGGGATTGATGGGCTATGAGACAGGGGGGTGTCCAGGACAAGACCCAGAGCTCTGGCCTGGGGGATGGTGGAGCCATCCCTGAGATGGGAACAGGAAAGAGCAGCAGGTTGATGGGTGATGACTCTTTTTTGACATAGATGAGCCAGGGGTCCTATGAGCTGGACAAGGCAAGCTGTGACTCAGGCCAGTGGATCTGGACCTTCAGGGAGAGTTCTGGGCTACAGCTCTCTGCCCCATCACAGGCCCTAACTCAGAAGTCACTTGCTTAGGGCCGGCCTGTGGCTCACTTGGGAGAGTGTGGTGCTGATGACACCAAGGCCACGGGTTCGAGTCCCTATATAGGGATGGCCAGTTGGCTCACTTGGGAGAGTGTGGTGCTGACACCAAGTCAAGGGTTAAGATCCCCTTACCGGTCATCTTTAAAAAAAAACATAAAAAAGTCACTTGCTGGGTGATTGAGGGCCTCTGAGATGAGGACCCCCTGCTTCACGTCTCCTTGGGAAACTGTGCCTTCTTGTGCTTCTTCATCTTCAGTTTCTCCCTCTCTGCCAACATCAAAACATGTTCCATCACCTCTAAACACGCGCACACACACACACACACACCTTGCATCAAGCTCCCTTGACTTATCTGTCATCCCTTTTACAGCTAAAGACTTGTGGTACCTACTGGCTCAATCCCTTACTTTCCACTCCCTCTTCAACCCACCACGTCTGGCTGCCCACCTCCCATGGCCCTGCAGTGGCTCTGGACAAGTTCCCCAAGGTCACCTGCTCATTGCTGTGGCCTGAGGATAACGTTTCAGTCCTCATCTGACATGGACCACTCCCTCCCGCCTGAAACCCCCTTTGCTTTACGTCCTCTTCTTTCCTGCTTAGCTTCCTCCTACTCCAGCTGCTCCTCAGAACCCGCCAGTACTGGCCTTCCACTGCCCACCCCTTTATTGGGGGCCATGGTCCTCAGGGCTCTCTCTGTCCTGGCCCTCTGCTTGTCCCACCTGCCCACTCTTCCTGGAAAGATTCCAGTCCCTTGACTCCAGCCAGAAATGAGCACCCAGGCCACTCTCCTGCCTCCTGGATGTCCCTCTGGATGTCCTTCATGACAATGAAGACCTTTGATCTCGCCATGTCCAAAACAGCTCTCAGCACCCCGTCCTCCCTCCCCCATATCACATACTCCTGAGGCACCTCCTCCCTCCCGGTGAAGAGACAGCCTCACTGTTCACCGCTCCCCTGGCTGGACCTGTGTGTCATCTCTGTCCCCTTGCCCTGTAACCTTGTCCCTACCCTCAGTAAGTCCTCTTCATCCAACCTGTTATGCTGTTATGGCTCTAGGATGCTCCACCTGCACTCCCCACCCTCATGGCCTCTGCCCCAGCTCAGGCCTTATCTTCTCTTGTCCCCAGCCTCCTCCTTTGCCAGGGCTCCAATCTTGCCCTTTTCAGTCCATCCCCCAGTGCCCCAACAGGCTCTTACAGAACCCCAAGTCAATCCTGGCCCTTTCCTGCTCAAAACGCTTCTGTGGCTGTCCACTGTCCTCCAGTTATAGACCAAATTGTATTGCAGGCTCTTCAGGACCTGCTCCTGCTGACCAGTCCAGGTCCCTCAGACCACTCCCCACTTTACACCTGCCCTTCTGGCCAAGAGGAAGTTTTTGATCACTGCCCACTGGTCTCACAACCTGGCATGTTTTTTCTGCCTAACAAACTTGTGCTCATCCTTTAATGTCAGACGCCGATCGCCTCCTCTGTGAAGCCCTCCCTGACTATCACAGATGGAATCCCTGGGGACCCTGACAGCCTGTCTGTCTCCTCACCCTCCTTGAATACAGGATCAGTAGCCCCTTGAGGTCAGGCTCTGGGTATAAATCATCTTCGTTCCAATCCTAGGACCTACAAGAGGCAAGACCTCTAGGGATTTGGTTGAGGGACTGTCCCAGCTGGGCAGAGTTTGCACTTCCAGTATTTTGGGGGACCAGTTTGCTTCTGGTTTCCAGTTAGCTTTGCTCCAGTTCTGTAGGGAGTTTGCATCACTGGAGCCTTGGAGAGCCAAATGTTTTTTTTTCTCCCTAGTGGATGCTGAGGCTGGGTACTGAGGGACTATAAGAGGGAGGAGCTGAGAAGCCAGCGTCCTCTGGCACTCTACCTGGATTAAGTCTGAGGGAGCGGTGGCTCAGTCAGTAGGGAGTCCACTCCCGCCCCGTCCACACACCCTTCCTTCTCAAGTTTCTCGGTTCCCCGCCGTTTGAGTCCGATGCTGCCCCCTGGTGGGCAAACACCCACCCTATTTGAGAGAGGCCAAACTAATTAAATACTTTTATTTACAGCAAACAAACAAGCCGACCTGCAAGGGAGGGACAGATCCTGCCCCTGCGGCAGTCGCAGAAGCCGGAGAAGGCAGTGGTGGAGTGCAAGTGTAGCTGTCTCGGTGACCGGTGTGTGCGCGCCCCCTCCCCGAGGCCGGGCTCTCCACTTCCGGCCCCCTTGCCACCCCCCGACCTAAGGCACAGCCCGCCCCCTCCCGCCCGTCCCAAAGCTCATTCACCACGGAGGCCGGCGCAGATGGGAACAAGAGGCCTTTAGTGTCGCCCCCCGCAGCCCCCATCTCCCGGCGTGGCCCGGCCCTGGCCCGCGTCTCAGAGCGGTGGCGCGGGCGCGGGGGTTATTAAGACTTCTGTAAATTCAGT